GATCTGGGGGGGGGAACTTTGCAACAGGCCCTATCCCAATCCACAGCCCCCCTCCTCTATTGGGATGCTTTTTGGTGAACCCCAAATCTCCCATTCCCATGGGGTGGGGGGGTCAGCACTATCAGGCCCTACAGCCCTTCCCACTCCCAAGCCCTGGGGCTCCCCCCCGCCCCAGAGAGGGGAGGTGATGTCTCCATCCCAGACCAACAATGGTGGGGGGGAGGAGAGCAATGGATGCTATCACCTGTCCTGAGGGTCATTATGCCCTCCTCAGCCCCTAGGCTCCCCCCAACCAGGGCTGCTGAGACCAAGGGCATGGGAGGACACTGGGATCACTGCGCAGGCAGGGCTGGTGTGGGGGCATCCTTCCCACCCCCATTTGCAGAGGGTCCCAGTGGGATGGGGGCTCAGGGGTCCCCAGGAGGGGATGGGTAGGAAGAGCAGCAGTGCCTGTTCTTGCTCCCACCATGGGGTGACAGCTTGACTAGGGGAGGGAATTGCTGCTTGGGGAGCCACAGGCCAAGGCTGGCATAGGGCAAAGCAAACAGTGGCCCCCCCCATGCCAGGAGGAGGTATGTGGCAGGAGACACATCGGTGAACCCCACCATCCTGCCTGCACAGGTCAAGGAGCAGGATTGGGCCTGGAGGCCTCAGCATGATGTGAGGGTGGTAGGGCTGGACACCTGGGTTCCCTTCCCTGCTTCCTTTTGCCCCCCAGCCCAGCAGCCCTCCCAGCCTGGCATGGGGTCCCCGCTCTCTGACTGCCCCCTCTCCCTTCAGCTCTGTCTCACCATGTCGGTCTCCAAGCTGCAGGACGTGGATGAGGTTTTTGGTGAGTCCTTGTGGGCGATGCCCCCCCAGGAAGGTGCCCCCATTTTCCCCTGCATCCCAGACCCACGGACACAGCACAGGGGCCTGCCATGGGTGCAGTCCCACAGCACATTTGGGGGCAGGGGTGAGGCCCAGCCATAGGACCCTGCACCCTGCAGCCTCCTCAGCCTCCTGTCCCCTCCATGCCTTCCTACCTGTCAGTGATGAGGCGAGAAGGGAAACTGAGGCTGGGGTGGGTGGCAGAAATCACCCCAGAGCTGGGCATGGGGCCATGCACATGGGAGCAGGGGCATCGTGCACACAAGGGTATGGGCACATGGATATGCACAGGGACAGGGGGACTTAGGGCCACGGGGACACATATGGGTACCCAGGCACATGGGTGTGGGCACAGGGACACACATGGGGCCACATGGACCCAGGCGTGGAGATGCTCACAGGGCACAGGGACACAGAGAGACACTTAGGGACACAGAGAGACACTTAGCCCAAGGGGTCCATGCTGATGGTTGGGGCTGGAGCACGGGATGTCCAAGTGGAGGCCAAAGGTGGGGCTGTTCAGGCAGAGAAGGGCAGGCGGCAGGGGCTGGGCTATGGGGATGATGGGGCCAAAACCCTCAGTGGATGACTGGGGCACATCAGGGCAATCCCACTCAGACCCTGGGCAGAGCTTTCTCCTGGGGTGGGGTAGACCAGGGACAGGCCCAGGTGACAGGGACACTTGGTCCTTGGGAACACTCAGAGCAGATGAGCCCGGGGAGCCCCGTGGCCCCCCGCTCTGCCCCCGGCTTCCGCCAGCTCCTCTCACTGCCCCGACTGGGCTGCCTGCGCCGTGGGCACTGGGGCATCACGTGCCAGGCATCTCTTTGAACACTTCTCTCTGTCCCTGTCCCTTGTCCCACCTCCACCGGGATCCCCCATCCATCCCCACACTTCTCCCCTATCCCTGTCCCCCCCCCCATCCCACCCCTACTGCGATCTCCTATCCGTCCCCCGATACTCTTACCCTGTCTCTGTGCCCCTTTGCCTCCCTCCCATCACCACTGGGCTGGCCTTCTCCCTCTGTCCATCTGTTCATCCATCCCTGCAATGCTCTCCGTCTCCACTGGGATCCCCATGTCCTCCCATCTGTCTGCTCATCCATCCCCCCACAATGTTCTCCCATCCCCATTTCCTTATCCCTACCTGTGCATGCATCCATCCATTCTGGTCTCCTTGTCCCTACCTGTTTGTCCATCTGTCGCCCTTTACCTGTCCTACTCATCCATCTCTCCATCCATCCCTGTCTCTACTCATCCGTCTTTCCATCCCTACCCATCCATCCATCTGCATCTCCCTGTCCCTGCTTGTCCGTCTGTCCACCTGTCTCTCTCTCTCTGCCCCGGTCTCTCTTTCACCCCCAGATTTTACCGCTGTGGTTCCAGAGACGCAGCGGCTC